AACTGAATCTCATAATACACTCTTTTTTCCCCTACACAGGTCAGCTGGTCCCTTGTGAGTGGGAATGTGAGCTGAGCCCCACCTTATGTGCTGAACATGCACAGGTGAGAAATGCAGCCCCAGGAATAAGGAAATAAATGTAAACTAACAAATGTTTCCTTTCCGCTGAGATTCCCCCCTGCCCCACCCCGTGAGTGCCATTGTTTCAGTAGACCTGATGACTCTGTGGCAAGCTATGATTGTACTAAACCAATCCCAGAGAATGACAACTAATTTCCACCTGGTTTAAGTGATGCCAAAACAAAGTAGAAGAGCTTATAGAATCCAGTGCCAGAGTTGCAGCTTTGCCCCTCACCTCTATTACCTACAACAGGAGTGATGAAATCACAGTTGGATTAAATTGTCCCTGCTCAAGTAAATGTAACCTCTGCTGATCCAGCAGTACTGTAGACAGGGCAGCAAGACTACAGTGAAGGCATGAACAGGGCTGACAAAAAATGAAATTCTCCATGCTTCCTTGGCTGAGGAACAGCACTACCATTCTGCATGTCTTTGCAAATGCAGCCAGGAAAAAAAAAAAAAAAATCTAAGCGTATAAATACATTAAATTGTAGTAAAAGGATTTTTAACAATATGTAACTATAAAAAAAAAAAGGATTTCGGAGCTAAGAACTTGCAGCTCGGTGCAGATGCCCTAAAGGTTCAAAACCCCATTAAATACCATTTTCAGGTTATACATGCCATTAACATGTTAAATCACTACCAAAAGCTTTGTCTTTTTTCACCCCTTCCCAGCTATGTATTTTGCCTTGTAAAGTGGGTTACTTCACTATAGCGCTCTCAGTTGTTCAGTAATTGCAAATGTGTCTTTATGAAAAACCATTTTCACTTTTAAAGTGGAGTATTAAGTGGAACAGATTTATCCACAGGTTCACATCAGGAGAGCAGCATTCATGCTCTTTCAGTTATCCAGGCAGAGATTCACTTTATTTTGGCAAGTAACAGACCCAAACAACTCGTAGAGCCAGGAAGATTAAGACCAACTTGTTATGCCCAGTTTGAACCGCTAACTATACTCAAAGCTTGCCATTGTGCCCATGGAGAATTAATCTGCTGATAACCCTCAGAGCCACTCTACACCCAGCTGTTGGCATAGACCTTTTATTTCTCTTTTTGTTTATTTTTGCTTCCAGCAAAACCAGAAGGTAGCCAAGCCCAATGACACACCCATTTATTTTTTTTTATGGAGCAGCACAAGGTGCCATTTCATACTGAAGCCCAGAGTCAAGCAGGCAACTATGGTGAAGAGTTCATTTTAGGGGCTGACTGTTAACAGCATCCAGAGACAACTACATAACCAGTTAGGAAAAATGAATAGGGCAGGGCTTTTTTTTCTTTTAATTTTTATAGTCTCCTATACTATTCAGTGTGCAAACAAGGGAAAGTAGATGGCAGAAAAACAAACAGTCCTAAAAGAAGCATATGTGAAGTCTGCATAGCATCCCATAGTTAACAGATGAAAAGTATTAAAAAGAAAATATGAAATGTCCTGTCTTGGCAAGATGGTCCTAAGACTCTTGTAAAGTCTTTTAATGGCCTCTGTATGCACAAACCCAGTTGCCGAGAGTTGCCATTCCTCTGAGCACAGCAGGTTTGACATTGCACACTTGCGTTAGCAGTGAGGTGCTATCTACAAACTTTCAACCAGGTACAGAACAGCAGACCTTACAAGGTACTGCGATGCTGAAATGAAGCAGAAAGTAACTTATTTCCTTACGTTTTCTCCTGAAAATCCAGTTCTTGCTCTTCTTCATCCCTCATTAAGAATGATGCTGGAGTATTTGATGCTTGCCACCATCCATAGCAGTATCTCTGTTCACTCGTGCGATTTCTTATGAAAAGTAGCAGTTACTAACCTGTACCTCACAGAGGTTAGGTACTAGCGCTGAAGACATCAATGGCCCGCTCTCCACCCTTTCTCATCTCAAGAATTCTCTCTGTGCCCCCCCTTCCAGGACCCACGTGCTATGTACAAAAAGTGACCGACATTGAATATAGCCCTTAAGCAATCAAAGGTACAACCTGAAACAATACCAACTGCCACAACACTTAGAGCCTTAAAAAGTTTTGCCTAAAAGTGTAAGTTAATTTTTAGCAGAAACATCAAATAATTAATATTTAGAAGTAGGTACTCAAACTAAACACATGCTCTGTGAGGATGATAAATAAATAGTCAATTGCCCGCTCTTTTAGCGTCCTGTAACTGAATTGTCAACATCTCTGTGGGAAAGGTGATAATGACCTGGTGTGTTTCAGCACCCTTGTCCTACTGCCATGTCTTTACATAAGAGTAACCCCTTTCTAACACAGAGGGAGAAAAGATTATGAAATGGCAATGTTAATCTGAATCATAAAGACAAAATAATCTAGCTTGCCATGCTTGTTGCATGTAACCTTATTCTCATATACAGGAGGCAAAGTCTAAATAGTAATTTCAGCCTACTGATATATTCATTACACAGCTCTAATCCTACACTGTATTGCATCAGTTACAACCATGGCAGCACCTGTTTGTGCCACTACCATCTATTAAACATGTTAATTAATCCCAACTCCATTCAAAGCATGACAGAGCAATAAATCAGTCTGTAAACATCTTTTCTGACCAACAAGATGACTTTTTAACCCGATTACCAAAGTTTACTTGGATTGAAATGCAAAGCATATAATGACAGACAAGAAATTGTCAATATGTGGCAAACAATCAGATTCCTAGTTAATACTACATGCTGTGTTGTAAACTCATTACTGCTCATTGGTATAAAATTCTACTAACTCCCAATTTTAAATTAGATATTACATTCAGAAAGGCTATTAAGGTGAATGAAAGTAATTAAAACAATTTAATCAAGCTGAAAATCAAAACCCTGACATACACAAAACATGAATGATCTAGAATATTAGAAAAGAAATGTTCCCATCTCTGGCAAAGAAATGTCTGAACTAGTAATCTCCTTGAGTGCATTCGCATGAGTTACCAGGGTCAAATTAACTGTGACATCAAAAACACTACTGAGATGCAAGGTACATTTTTTCTGTTTATGCAAATTCATTCTTATAAATACAATTGTAGCGCTGTCCTGGTTTCGGCTGGGATAGAGTTAATTTTCTTCCTAGTAGCTGGCATAGTGCTGTGGTTGGATTTAGGATGAGAATAATGCTGATAACACGCTGATGTTGTAGTTGTCGCTAAGTACTGCTTTTGCCAGTCAAGGACTTTTCAGCTTCCCATGCTCTGCCAGGTGCACAAGAAGCTGGGAGGGTGCACAGCCAGAATAGTTGATCCAAACTATTGATCCAAAACCTGTTGATCCAAACACCTGCCACTGCCCAACCAGTTCCTGAGCACCAGTCGCTGCCTCCCAGCCAAATCCCCCCAGTTTCTATACTGCCCATGACATGATATGGTACGGAATATGCCTCTGGCCAGTTTGGATCAACTATTCTGGCTGTGCCCCCTCCCAGTTTCTTGTGCACCTGGCAGAGCATGGGAAGCTGAAAAGTCCTTGACTAGAGTAAGCACTACTTAGCGACAACTAAAACCTCAGTGCGTTATCAACTTTATTCTCATACTAATCCAAAACACAGCACTATGCCAGCTGCTGGGAAGAAAATTAACTCTATCCCAGACAAAGCCAGGACATCTGGTGATAAAGAAATGCCTTCACAGGCAAGGTTTGAAAATGTAAACTCTCCAAAACCACCATTTAAAAGTCATAGAAAATCCAGAGGATTTTGTGGGAACAGTAGGAGCCCTACTTCTCTAAGATATGTCCCTTACACCTGTGGTTTAAACAATCCAGTTACAGCTAGACATATACAAGACTACTTCTACAACTGTTGGACCAAGAGAGGTTAGTTTCAATTAAGTTACAAAAGACTTTCTGGCAGTGAGAAAGTCTGGTATTCCCCAGCCCCCAACAGAACTGTAAAAACTGCGTAGTGACAGTACGCAAAAGAGCTGTGGACTCCCAAGTTCTCAGCAAATAGCTGAAACATGAATTGCTACTCTCTAGTTTATGAAGAGCATAGAGAATGATAGGAAAAAATTGGGAAGTAGGTTCTTACCCAACAAAGCAGCAATTATGTTACCTACTAAACGGCAAAGAAACAAAGTCTTCAGCTTTCGGATCAGACAGTGCCTTCTCAAGGTGAGTGAGCCTTTAAAAAGGTTATTTAGCACAAGAAAATTTAAGTCAGCTTACTATTAAGCAGCACTTGCACTTAGCAAAATAAAGAAGGGAACTAGGCCTACTTACAGTAATAA